GCTTTCCCAGTTGTTCTGCAAACATACTCCTTCCCACAGTCCTGCTATAAAACAGAGGAAAGTACTGTAGCCATGAGCTGTGAGAAGACCTACAGACCTATTTTGAAGACAAAATAATTCTGATCTTACCCAGCAAACAATGCCCTGAAAATACTCTAATGAAAAATTAACTCTTACTTTTAAGTGTAGGTAGATACACAGCTCTACAAATTTCTTCTATTCAACCTTCTATGGAAAGTGAAGGCTCCAGATGAGTACTTACCCACCATGATCCTTATTTGGAAGCTCTATGGCACTGCTTGCTGCAGGAACCAAGTCTGACTATTTATAATTCTACAAGATCGATGTTAGAGAAACAAAGTTTTGTTTCAATACTAAATCTAGGAAACTGCTAAATCACAGATGGGCTTGCGCCAAAAATGGGTGGGAGACCTACCTACAGATTAAACCCCATTTCACACATATAGCCTCAGGGAAAACATGCAGAACAACCCCAAAAAAGGTTTTTCTCATATACATGACGATATGTACACAGATCCAGAGATTGAGAGTCACTGAGTCAAACCTAGAAAAACATGGACTGCTAATTTTGCTTCTTTTGGCCACCAATATCCACTTTTTTTTTAAAACTACATGCTACCAAATGATGCTCGTAATAAAAGGGTTGGTAAAAATACTGATCCAAGAAATCAAGTGGCTCACTTACTAATAATCTGAAATTCCAATTAAAATATGAACTGGAAAGAAATCATCAATGTAAAAATCGCTCAAGTTGATCATCATAGAAGAAATGAACATGCCCAAATAACCAGAATGACATCTGAACTCAGTGACTGCCAAATACAGCCTGTGAAACGTCCCATCAAAATAAAGATGGGAAATCAGTAAGCAGATGGCAAAATTCTTTCTAAAACCTCACATAAGGGGACATTTAAGGCATTTCTAACTGTTGTGCAAAAGAAAAGAAGGAGGTTTCATCAAGTGTAACTCTAGCCAAGTTATGATAATAGGTTGCTTCAATCCTCTACTTGGCTCAGGAAGTAAGTGGCTTAAATGGGGGAAGCAGCTCTCAGTAGGGGACATGAATGCAAACCCTAACTCTGCAAGGTGGAAAATCACTGCAGCTCTGGATGAATTTCAGAGAAGAATCAGGCTGTTTCATAGTCAGAGGGCAGCCCGTGCTTAGTTGTACAGTTTAGCTGATAATGCTTTGTGTCAAGAAATCACCTTTTCTATTTGAGATTTGTCTTAGGTTTCTGACCCATTTTCTTGTTTCCCAGGCTTTCTCTACCACTCTTGAAACTCCCAGACAACTAATGAACAAGGACTACTGTCTTCTCAGAGCCTCAGCATTAATCTTTGTAAGACTTAAAGGACACCACTTTGGTGTCTATAAACCTGCAATCACACATGGATGGGGAAGTTTGTACAACATTTCATTTCCCATATAAATGGTAAAAACTAATCACTTTTAGAACAGGAAGAACAACATACAAAGCAGGATTGGGAGAGGTCTGTTTCACACGAATGCATCTCAGTTTCTGACTTGGATGAAACTGGCAAAATGCAAGAGAATTCCCTATATTTCATATATTCTATATTCAGGTTTAAGAGATTTTCCTTTCAGTTTACATCTTAGTAATTCACCAATTGAACTTAAGAGTTAAAACTCTCAGCATCAGAAAACAATGCTTTTTGGTGACGAAAGACTTTTAAGTAAAAACAGGGTTTAAACCAAAACTTGAGTGATATATTCTACAAGTTTCAAATTCTAAAAATAACAGGAGGACTGGAAGGATCAAAATGCCATGCATTAGTTGGATTACTTTGAATTTAGAGACAGGGACACTGTCCTCAGGAGATCAACTCTCCATTCACAGATTTCCCCTAAGAACAGGTCTTTCTATAAGGCCATCAAGCTGTAGGTGATACAATGAACTGAGTTATAAAATAGCCTCTTTTTAGATCAGAGATGATACAAAATCAGTTTCTCTCTTTTCTTCCTGAAAACCTTTTACTCTCAACCTAAACCTATTTTGCCCTCCAGGAATTCCTGGTGTATTTCTTTTGAGATATTCTCCACTTCAGTAGCAGAGCCTACAGAAAACCATGATTACTAGGAGGCTATCTCTCAAAGAACACTTTTTCTCTCTTTGTGGGCACTCTAAATGACTACAACCATACACATATACAAAGGTATACAGGTATACGCAAAAGCAAGAGTACTTCAATATTGGTTTAACAAACACTCTCGCTCAATTTGCCTCATGTACCTTATAGACTACAAGTAGTATTTAGGCATTAAAAATATGCAAAACACAATTTTAAGAATGCACCAACCGGGGCGCCTGGGTGGCGCAGTCGGTTAAGCGTCCGACTTCAGCCAGGTCACGATCTCACGGTCTGTGAGTTCGAGCCCCGCGTCGGGCTCTGGGCTGATGGCTCAGAGCCTGGAGCCTGTTTCTGATTCTGTGTCTCCCTCTCTCTCTGCCCCTCCCCCGTTCATGCTTTCTCTCTCTCTGTCCCAAAAATAAATAAACGTTGAAAAAAAAAAAAAAAGAATGCACCAACCATCCATAGGAGCTTATCTGCATTTTGTTATGCCTCTCATCATTTCTTAAATCAAAGCCTAAAAATGTGAAAATCTAAATAGCTGAAAACAATAGCAGATTCTGAAAATTATTAAACTGCATCTTACAACTTACCTGTATCCATCACTGAGATTTCACCAAGAACCAGATTCAGGTAGGGCACAGGGGCCACAGCTTCCTGTTCATAAGATATTCCCGCACATTTTACAAGAACGTACATCTCTACGTCCAGCCTTGGCATGTCTGAAGTTAAAATTTGATTATTGTGATATAATGGAATCAGGGCCAAGTGCTTTTCCAGTATCTACCACATTAACCTTCAAGGTCGGACACAGAGAAGAGGTGGTAGGGTTGGATTCAAAACTAAAGAACACTCCATTTGTGGGGTGCATTTCTGTTGATTCTGACCTCAGGATCTTGCCACCTCAGCAACCACTTAAACTGAATTTTCACTTCTCCTGGCCCTGAAACTCCCTTTCAGTAATTATTTCTTCCTTTAAATATAAACAATTTATGACTAAGTAAAGTATATTCTAGTAGAAGAATATAGTGAAGGTCAAAAGAAGTTTCCTATGTACCACGAATGACTCGTGGTGGGCCAGAGCCCAAGTCATACTTAACGAGAAAACGAACAAACAAAAAAATTTAAGTATTATCATTTACTTCCTTAAAAATCTTGTTTTCTTTAAAACTGTAAACAAAATTGACCCCAATAGTAAAGATATTCACTCATAATTTTTTAACAAGTAGATTTTAATAACTTTTTATTCCCACACAAAGCCATCTAATTTTCTGAAAAAAGAAACTGCTACACAGAATCTTTTAAACATAGTTTGTATAATTCCAAATGAACAGAAGTAAGAGGCATGAGGGACCTCTGTGGTCATAGGTAAGCCCTAGTTGTCCCTTAGTTCGGGATCAAGGGCAGTTTATTCCATCACCTTAGCCAAATAAATGGTTCCTCAGTATCCCCTTTCAAATAGTTTATATGAAAGGGTTATTCTTAATAATGAAACTACCGAAGGGAGACAGAAAAGAATGAGAGAGAAAAACGAAAATAGTACAGTATAAATATTTCCATCCTAATAGTTAAGGACTCTAGGTATCAAATGGTACCAACTTGACACATCTGAAAAGACCTTAATATTTAGAACATTAAAAAGAAAAAGGAGAAATCATCCTTCTAAGTACTTTGAAAGCATGTCAAACTATAGATTTACATGTGACAAAGTCTTAAGGGCCACCAAATATGTAGAAATAGAAATTCCAAATATTTTAGTCCTTTGAATATACAAAACCAAATAAGGCACAAGGACCTAAAGATTAAACACAAAGCGAGTTTATAATGTTCCAGTTTATGTGGTTTAGAGACCTTCTATTTTGTCCTGTAAGATAATTTCAATAGTTCTCTCTTGCATGTGTCCCGATTTATTATGATTGTTGGAGATATATTCATTCTTAAACTTAGAACACGATATAGGCTATAAAATTTTCCAAATTATATTGTTGGCATAATCTAATTCAAAATGTAAAAATCTTCAAAGAGATTCAAAGAGACTTTCATTAAAACCCCCTGCTTATTTACTGCAAAATATAACTTTTGAACAAGAATATATAACTATTACAAATAACAAACAAGTTGGAATGATCATTGAAATGTCCATCCAGGAGGCCCTCAATTCTCCTATTTAGCTCTCAAACAACCTACACTTCTATGCATTACATATTGACACCCCTAAACAGACTTCTGAGGCTGATCCCAGATATTTGCATGCAGGAGATAAAAGAACATTTGCAGCTGCCATACACGCTGGTGATCTGTGAGTTACATGACCATCTTGCTGCATGCTGCATTTGTTCTTTATATTTTATTTAATAAGTGGAAGAAGGGGGGGGACACATCAAATGGCTGACATTGTAAGAACCACGGGACTTTATATATTTAACACCACTGGGACAAGAATAGAAACGGAGGAATGAGGAGTCTTTCGCCTCAGCTGGGTTCTCATAGGGCTTAAACTAGTGGATAGTGCTCAAATGAGAAAAAGAGCAAAGGCAAGAAACATGCAGAAAATATTGGAAATAAACTATCTAGGATTAGGTCTAAAAAATGAAGCATAATTGGGAGTTCTGGAGTGATTTAAGATCTCTACAACTCCTCTGTATTTAGTCCATTAGCTTTTGCAGAACCAATTTTCACATACATCTTTAGGAATGTACTGAGAATAACAGAAGGGAACTTTTTGTGCTGAAAAAAAAAGAAAAAGAAAAAAATTGGCTCCAAACCAATTTTTTTTTAATTTAATGAATGATTCTGCATGAATCTGTATGGATAAAGATTAGAAAAAAATTGCCTTGGCAATGAACAAATGCAAACCAAGAAATTAAACACTAATCTACAGCAGAAGTTGCTACACAAGAGACGTTTATTAATGTTCTGTTGTATTTACAGTTTTAACATAGCAAACCAAGGTGAATTACCACTTGGCAGAAAGCACATCATTCTACATTTATAACTCATCGGTTTCTGCTAACACATTATAAAAGCAAGTAGTACTACAGTATGTTAGGGATCATCTCAAAAGTTCCAAACTAATTCTTTCTTTGCTCCTTAGTATCTAATACCCTCCCTACTCCAGCCCCTGGCCTAATCATCAGGAGACAAAGAAAGAAAGAAAGAAAGAAAGAAAGAAAGAAAGAAAGGGTAGAACTCTTAATAATAAAGTATCAACTGTATTTTAGTAATTAAGCTGCAATTGTCCTTGTCCTTTTTATTTTATAGTGACAACACCTTTACAATTTCTTAGGTACATAACACAGAACAATAAGGTACTGCAAAATTTAGAATACAGACTATAAAAAATTAATGCTTATTATTCACCAATTAAGAACTTAACTTAATCCTGACGACACCTTAAATGCATTTTGCACTATGATTTTGCTTCCAGGTGTTCACAGTACAACTGAATAAACTTCTAGATTAATTTTAACAGCAAGTATGGATTATGCGTAGAAATGCAGTCATAACAAAAATCTGAACTTTTGAGAAAATCCCTTTTAAAATGGCCAGCATTATACATATCTTACACTAAAATACTTAATTCCAAGTTCATTTTGAGATGGAGGATGAATAAAGCAAGATTGCCCCCTACTGACTACAGGGACAAGGCTCATGCTATTTAAAATAACTACAAACAATAGATAAGGCATTATTAATACATCACATACTTGATTGCGAGAGCTTTTTCAAACATTAACCACTAATGATTCAAAGTTTATGGAATTTTGCATTAACTATTAAAATTTTACACCTAGGAACAAATAAAGAGAAATGATCTTTTTCAACAGTACTTTATTTTTTTAAAGCAGGTGATTATTCCTCTGTGTTCTGCATCTTGATTCACTTCCTGCAGGTGTTCTCTTGCTTCTTGAGAGAGAATTCATAAACGCAGGAAGGCCTTTGCCAGAAAACATCTGCCAGAGAAGGATATTGAATATTGAAACTCTAGTTAGCTTGTTATTTTGGCCAAGAGAAGGATGTAGTCACAAAAGAAGGCAGGATGTTTGCAGACACAAGTAGATTTTAACATAGCTTTAAGATTACTATACACTGACATCATACTATTCAATAAACATTAACATTTCAGTTCTTAAAGTTACCAAGGACTCTAGAACTAGGAAGAACCTGAATGCTTTCTCTAAAGCCCACGAAGCCAGGGATCGATCTCTCTCTCCAAACGTCCTAACAACATAATGAAATGCAAGTAACACTTCTTCATCCTGCACTTAACCTCCACAGCAATGACGGAAACTTGGGGACTAAGAGACAGTAGAATCCAAGTGCACAGGTAATTTTCCTAATACACCTGAAGCTCCTGTTTACCCTGCCAATTCTGCCAGATCTCACACAAGGAAGATTTCCACAAAGGACGCCAATGATGTCATGCTGTACTTAGAGCACCGCAAAGTTAAAGAATAACTGTAAACTCACAGGTATCACAGATACTTCTTTCAATCAATCAGACAAAAAAGTCAATGTATTGTGGGGCATATATTTCTGAAAAAATTTGATAAAGAAACTAATTTTTTTAAATGTTTATTTATTTTTGAGAGAGAGAGAGAGACATAGCGTGAGCCGGGGAGGGGCAAAGAGAGAGAGAGACACAGAATCCGAAGCAGGCTCCAGGCTCTGAGCTGTCAGCACAGAGCCCGACATGGGCTCGAACTCATGAACACAAGATCATGACCTGAGCTGAATGAAGTCAGACACTTAATGGACAGAACGACCCAGGGACCCCAAAAAACTGATTTTTAAAAACGAATATACATGACTGAAATAAACACTCTCAAAACAATGCCCATATTCTGCATATTATTTTTAAGTTTATTTATTTATTTTGAGAGAGAAAACAAGAGGGAGAGCATGGGGGGAAGGACACAGAGGGAGGGAGAGAGAGAATCCCAAGTAGGCTCTGGGCTGTTAACACAGAGCCTGACTCAGGGCTCTTGACCAGAGCCGAAATCAAGAGTCAGATGTTTAACTGACTGAGCCACCCACGTGCCCCATATATTCTGTATTTTAAATGCAGTTTTCATATAATACTTTGAGGCATTTCTATTTTGGCATAATTAATCATTTTGGTTTTCATGGAATTAACAGGAAAACGTACAAGTGACTCCCTATGTTAATGCAAAAAAAACACACAACACTGAAGACACACACACTACTTCATAAATATTTGAGAAACAACTGTGTGGTATCATGCACCAAGGGAGAGTTGGATGGGCTCATATGGAGACCCTTAGCTTACTTTTCTACCTGTCCAGGTTACTGTAAAAGCTAGAACTAGCCCTTTCTTTTCTATCTTTTCTGATTAGACTACTGCATAAATCTTTAAAAGGCTGACAAAATGCAGAGAAGCTACAACAGAGGAAATCAATATATGGTTTTTTAAACTGTACATATTTTTCCAAATTCCAAATTCAGTTGGTATTCAAGTAAACCAGTAATAGTGACACAAGAACAACTTTTCTTTAGATTGAGAGACCTCAGAATGTACAGTGACAAAGACATGAGAACATAAGGAACTCTAAAAACCAAGCAGAAGCAAAAAGTGTATCAGCAGGCCTATGTCAAGTGGAGGCTTTTGCAATGAGGCTAGACTTACTACAATTTTAAGTAACTTCAGCTTTATTAATTTCCATTAACAAATGAAAAATGATGTAAGAGTTCTTATTCATTAAAACACTAGAATTTGCAAGAACATATGATATAGTCCAGGTAACGATCTGACCACTTGCCTTAGATCATGCTGCTTCCACAGAGGTTGATTAGATCCCTCAAAGTCAGAACCACCCAACAAACAATAAAATTCCACTAAAGGAGTCTAGATAGGTTAATAGTGGGTGATCTCAATCACTATACAGGCTCCAAATGAAAATTATTACTGCTCTCTTAAACCTGGAGGCCTGTCCAGACAGACTTGACTCACAAGATGTCACAAAAACAATGGTGGAACACAACTGGAGGAAAGAAGGCTGTTAGGGACTCTGGACATCATTAGTAAACTGTAGATCGGATCACTTCAGAAACAAAAGGAACCATCAGCCTACAGATCATTTAATCTCAAGAGGAAAACCACCATTTCTTCTTGAATGTTATATGAACTTTTTTTAGCAAAAATTCCACTGGGGCGCCTGGGTGGCTCAGTCGGTTAAGTGTGTAACTTCGACTCAGGTCATGATCTCACGGTTCATGGGTTCAGGCCCCGCATCGGGCTCTGCGCCGACAGCTCAGAGCCGGGAGCCTGCTTCGGATTCTGTGTCTCCCTGTCTCTCTGGCCCTCCCCTGCTCACGCACTGTCTCTCTCTCTGTCTTGCTGCTTGACAACATAGTCCAACAAATCTAACTTTAACTTGGGGTGAACTTCCTTTAATAAATTAAGAGAAGTATTAAGGAGGAGGGGGAAGATTATAGAAAGGGAAACATCATAGAAAAGGAAAAATAGCATCATATGGGGGGAAATTTTACATATCTGGTAACTAATAGGTATAGGTCACAGGAATCATTATCTAATTGTAAAGCGTCCTATCTCATTAATGCCAGGGCTTACAAACTTTTCCCTTCTATTTTAATTTTTTTTAACGTTTATTCATTTATTGACAGAGAGAGACAGAGTATGAACGGGGGGAGGGTCAGAAAGAGACGGAGACACAGAATCCGAAACGGGCTCCAGGCTCTGAACTGACAGCACAGAGCCTGACGCAGGGCTCGTACTCACAGACCGTGAGATCATGACCTGAGCCGAAGTCGGATGTTTCACCGACGGAGCCTCCCAGGTGCCCCTCCCTCCTATTTTATATGTGGTTAAAATAACAATTTAATATCTCTTGGGCTTCACAGGCACAAGTGCTTCTGGAGCAGCGTCTGATACCAGTTCACTGTGCTACCACATTCCAACTACTGCAGCTAAACCCTCAGTTCCTTGGCAGCATCAGAGGAAGTGGTACTCCATAAAAATTTATTTTCCAGTAAAATGGTAAATAAGAAAAAGTATGAACACGACATTTTTGACCATTTCAGATAAAGAGGTTTCTGAAAGGTATCTGTTTCTTTGGAAACAATACAGAAGGAACGTTCTGTTTTTCTGCTTCCTCACAGTCACTCACTTCTTGAGGCCACAGGGCCTACATTTAGCAATTCCTTCTGGCTTTTCTTGCTGTGGGGCAGGAGACCAGATTTCCTTTTTAAGCTTAAATGAGCTCCAAAAGGGAACCTGAGAGCTGCCCCTATGATAGCAGTACATGAGCCTCACTGTTCGGCTTTTGTAACATCTACTTTGGCTGATTAGAAAGAGGCCTTCTGGGGTCATTTCAAGGTTTGTTTGTTTGTGTGTCCTGTATTTTGGGTCACCTGAACAGAAAAGTCACTATTCTTGTACCCTTTTCCAGTAAAATGGCAGACCTTAGTACAGCATGGGAATTAAGTTATTTTTCTGTTACGGCAAAGCTACTTTAAAAAGTACCTACCTGTGTCTTTCTGGCAAAAAGTAAGCCTACAGCTAGCTTTTAACTAGTGACATATATATCAAAGAAAGTTAAGAAGTCTCAGTGAAAGAAAATAAAATCTTCACATCTTACATGATGGTTTGCTAGCACAACTTCAAACTAAATTAAATTTCCTCTCAACTAGAGAAACATTCTACATTTGGATCTAGATGAACAGTTCTTATCCCTGTCAATGCACAAAGGAAATTCAGTCCCATGGGATATTATGGCTTTTCAGATTCACTCTGGGGATACTGACAATTAGTAAGGAAGTCATTAGAATTCTAAATGCGGCTCTAAGCCTCCAAACCCCTAATTTAGAGCTCTGAATCCTCTGGGCATGTCAGAAATGATTTCAAATCAACTAGACTAGCAAAGTCAGATAGAAAAGAAAAGAAACTTAAGATGCCCTTCACCGGGAGATGCTCTAAGTTTCTGACAACTCCTAAAGCACAATAAGGCTTCTGACCCCAAAATACAGAGAATCGCAGGGGCCTAGAATGTTCCTTCACAATTCCATCAGCATTAGTACTAAGGACTGCCTACTGCAAATCATAATCCCATACTTTGCTTTACATTTAGAATACTCCTATAAAACATTTCAGACAGTTTTAAAAATCCAAACAAAACAATACCAATTTTTATGTACAAAAGCCACTCAATACAGTCTCTAACAATACAGGAAAACTGAGAAGTTCAGGCTTTCTTCTGAACCTGGCTGTTACTGGTTATGTGTTAGAAACAAGATGAGGAAGGTGTGCAATCCCCTAATAAACATTGAAATTTCCTTCTAACTGAAGAATGAAGAGAACAGAAGTGTGATCTTGGTCCATTCAGAAATTCAAAGCTACCATTTGCCTAGACCTATAGAATCTATTATTTTTTAAAAAAGAGAAATAAGGGGGCACCTGTCTGGCTCAGTCAGTAGAACATGCAACTCTTGACTTCAGGGTTGTAAATCTGAACCCCACACTGGAAACAGAGATCACTTTAAAAGAATTAAAAGGGGAAGAGAGACAGAGAGACAGAGAGACAGAGAGAGAGAAAGAAGTCTGTCCCCTCAGGATATATGGGCATGAATGGATTAGGGGAAATCTATGGGTGATTTGCACACCCTTTGTAAGGAGAACCATGGCAACCCAAAAGAATTAACTTTTGAATCTTTGGCAGGTAAGAGTTAAATGTGAGGCTAAGAAATAGTTACCAATTATATGGATATGGATATGGATATGGATATGGATATGGATATGAATATAGAAAGAAAAAAGAGGACAATAGTAACTTCATAAAACTACACAGAACATCTGATAAGTCTCTTAAAGTTAGGATGTCCTAGACACAAAAACACATTAGGGCATTAGGCCAGCAGTGTCAAAGTCCATCTGAGTCCAGACTTTGTAACCTAATTCAAATTCAGGATATGCCACATACTTTTAAACACGCAATTAAAACCTACTTCAAATGTTTTATTTCTTTTAAAAAAAAGAAAAAAAAAATCAGCACATGTGGCACTCTTAAGGAACAAAGTTTTCTTTCAAATCAAAGTACATACTGCCTTGAAGAAATTTACTTTAACCAATACAAGCCTAAGTTCTTTGCATGCTTTAACTTTTGTAAGAAATGCCTTAGGAATATACTCTACCATGCAGGTATCTGACCTCTCTATCACTGTAACTTTCTGTTATTTACATAAATACATTTAATTATACATATGAAATGCTTAATGCAATTTGTCATATTCAAGAAATTCTCATATTATTCTGTTCCTTAAAAACTTTTACCTATTTTTTAGAAGATTTTGTTTTGAAGTAATCTCTATACCCAACACGGGGCTCAAAACCACGACCCCAAGATCAGGAGGAGCATGCTCTCCTGAGTCAGCCAGGCATCCCTGTTGCTTAAAAAGTTTTAATGCTGGGGCGCCTGGGTGGCTCAGTCAGTTGAGCGTCCGACTTCGGTTCAGGTCATGATCTCACAGCTCGTGAGTTCGAGCCCCACATCAGGCTCTGTGCTGACAGCTCAGAGCCTGGAGCCTGCTTCTGCTTCTGTGTCTCCCTCTCTCTCTGCCCCTAACCCACTCGCATTCTGTCTCTGTCTCTGTCAAAAATAAATAACCATTAAAAAAAAAAAAAAAGTTTTAACGCTGTCTCACATCACCTGGCAAATTAATTATGGTGGGTAGTTTCTTTTCTAGATGCACACATCCTGATACCACCATGAATCTTCAACACGGAGAACTCCACTCTTAGCATCTGATTACTTTTGTTAACTATGACTACCCACAGCAAATAGAGAACAAATTAATGTTCACAAAGGGTTAGCTTGCATTGAACCAATATGTCCCTGGACTTTAAGGGCTGCTCTATGCATTCTACTGTTCCACTGCAAATGGGCTTAGTGCTCAAGATATTTGAAACCATTGTCTCAAGCTGGCTTTGCCAGCCTTGACCTTCAACACTCCTTTATGCTATAATCAAACTGCTGTCCCTTGAGCAAGCTTCATACTTCCTTGCCTCTATTACACTCTTCACTCTGCTTTAGGTGATTCTAAATCTACCCCACCTTATCCAATTTCTGTGTATCACTTAAGATGGATGTCAACTGGTACACCCTTTAAAACAAAGCCTTGTCTGATCTTCAGGGGGTGCCTGGCTAGCCCCGTCGGAAGAGCATGTGACTCTTGATCTCAAGGTTGTGAGTTCAAGCCCCATGTTGGGTGTAGAGATTACTTTAAAATAAAATCTTTAAAAACAAAAAACACACAAAAAAAGCCCCAAAGCCTTGTCTGATCTTCAACTAACCTAGCCCCTAGGGTGGTTCAAGATTCCTCTCCACAACCCACCCATCCCAAACTTAAAGGAACAAAGTGAAGTCCAAGAAGTCCTATTAGATCTTGTTACCAGAGAGGACTCTCTCTGGTATACTCTTTCCCAAGATTCCATAGCTCTTCCTTTTTGCAGCTAAAGATGGAAGATGGAGCTAAGCTCTGGAGAAAACCACATAGGAATCAAAGAGGAGCCTTAGCAGGGCTTAGTCCTCCTCTTCTAGGCAGAGATAAAGGTCCATTCCCCTTCCTTTCCTTGGGTTTGACCCTCCTTACCACCAGAGTGGTAATGTCAGGGTGTGAATGTGAAGAAGGGCACCAGGAAAGTCTCCTGACTAATTTTAAGAGATGGAAGCCTTAGTGGGCTTGTAAGTAGCCTAGGCAAAAGGAGTTCCTCATGCAGACAATGGTTTCTTCCCATTGGAGCTCTGGGGTTTGGGGGACCTATGTAATTACAGCCAAGTGATTAGGCCTAAAAGGCTCCTTCTCAATGCTATCCTCTGGAGCTGGTACAATAAGCAGTGGCTTCAGAATTCAGGATTCAAAGATCCTGGACCGTGTAGTTAGAGCCAAATATCCTAGCTTCCCAAAGACTATGAAGACCCCTGCCTCTTCTATACTGTCAGAACATGAGATAATGTTTTCTCCTATGGTAGTTTTTCCAACTTGCCCATTTCAACAGCTTTCAATGAAAACACGCCTTAACTAAACTAGAAACTGCCAAAAAGGCGAGGACTATGGCTTCCTTACCTTCTCTATATTTCCAACTATAGGGGGCATACTATACTCTGATCGTGGAGAAAAATTGGCAATGTATCACATGATTATACTGGGACTAGAATAACGTTTTGTGTAATACCTTTAATAAATAAAGAGAACTCTGGTCCTAGGGAGATTTGAGAACGTTTCTGGCATCTTCCGAACTTTTGCATAATTGATAAATCCTCTGAGAAACAGGAGAAAACCTGATTTAAAAAAGAAAAATCAAGAATGAATTTATAATTTCTGTATTAAGTACACCCTCCCCACAGAAATATCCCTATTGATAGCACTATTTCATCATTTTTCTGCTAAAAGTTATCAAAACATGAGCAATTTCCAAAGGATTTCCATACAAAATTTTCCATTTCTCATTGAGAAGACATAATCTTGAGAGCCCAAATGAAAGTCTTTTTGCACATTCAGAATCTAATTGGTCTAAAAGGCAAATAAAAAATAAGACAGAGCTAAACCTCTATTATTTGATAACCTCACTGAAAGGCATTATGAAAACCTACCTTCTGGGTTCCAAAACAGTATTTCAAGATAATTAAGCCCCCCAAAAAAGACAGGCTATAAAATATTTTTCTCAAGAAAAAAAAAAAAAAAAAAAAAAAACCCCATCCCTCTTGTCAAGGTTTTTTTTTTTTTTTTTCCTGTCAACTGTACATATGCTGTCCACTAGGTGTCAGGATCCCCTTAACCTATTACAGCAATTCTTTTTACATTTTGTTTCGTTTTGTTTTTGTTTTTACAGCAATTCTTACATTCTCAACTCTAAATTTAATTTCTCTATTCTTAAAAATATATATACAAGTAGGGTTCACTCTGCCCTTTATTTACCAGGCACTGAAGGAGTGAGGCTGATTTTGTAAGTCTACACCAAAAGCTATTTACATTCAGTTTTCACCTCTTGTAACAATCAACCCCCTCCTCCCCCCAGGAAGGGGGTATGCCCCCTCTAATGACAGCTCACTCTCTTCTGACCTTCCTCCTTCAGAGCTCTTCCCTGAGTCTTAAGAGACATTTTAAAAACACCTTTATGGTGATACAATTCACATACCATAAGCTTCACTCATTTAATGTATACCATTCACTGGCTTTATTTAATTTTAGTAGAAATATAAAGTTGTACAACCAAAACTATTATCTTAACTTGAGAACATTTTTATGACCCCTAAAAAATCTGTACCCATTCAGCAAGCACTCCTCATTCCCATTCTGTTTGGCAGCAAAAGTAGTAAGTGACTAGACAGCAGGGGTTACCCCATCACGTGCTGGGTTGTGGAATCCTGGTGAAATGAGTGGTTAATCTGGAGTGGATGCCTACAACTCAGCTCCAGTCAAAGGGTGGGGGCCAGGTGGAAATATAGGCCTGTTTTGCTAGATATTCCAATTTTTAAGAAAGTAAAAAAAATTGAGACGTTTTATATGGAAACTCTTGATTTGTAAGTGACGGCAACTAATTTTTAAAAAACCCCTGAAAATAACTGTAGAACAAATTATAACTACAGGCTAGATGTAGCTCATGGAGTGCCAGCTTGAGAGCTCTGTGTAGACTTGTTCCTAGCAAAACAACAAACAAAATAACAAAACACCCAAGAATTGGTTCTCTCTGCAAGAGAAATTCCCAAAATGATCTAAACATTGGATCCAAATGCACAAGTTATATCCTAAGTGTCACTGTTTTTTCGCTTACTAGTAAGCAGTAAGATAAACAGAATGACTAATTGCAAGTATGGTAAATTCTTCTCCCAAGAAACTTTAATAAAGGAAGGAAATCAGTTCATTAAGTTTCTATAAATTATCTATGTTGTCAACAATCAACCTAAAAATACATATTTAATGATACATTTTCAAGAATAAGCAAGCCAAGAAACTATTCCTCCAAAGTAACTCTTGTATGGGTCATTTTTATTATTAAGTGCCTTAAGATTAAGGGGGGGGGGGGGTTATGATTTATCTTTCCTTAGAATTCCAAAGACTATTAGTAGAATAGATGATGCTACTGGGGAAGTGGGGGATGGTGTGATATAAGATTTGTATTTTCTAAGTAAAATTTAGGTTCACCAATGCATGGTCTATCACCTTGGGCAAAGCAGGTAGGTCCTGAATATATTAAGCACCTGTTGGGCATGGGTGCTACACTGTGCTAACTAGACCCATTAGTAGCGTTGCCACCAAGGATCTTGATTAAGGAGGTAACAAGGCGGCCCAAAACAGGAGACAGGAGAAAGCAGTATCATAGAAGTGGGCGAGGCAATTATACTATCTTGAACAGGATGACCCTGCTATGGTTCTATAGAAATGACAACAGTGATGGTGGTCAGTTATTGTATCATAAATATGTTCTTCACAAAGAAAGAAGAAGCCAAAACTATTCACCCCACTGTTCATTTCTTTGCTTTAAAATGTCTTAGAAGAAAAAAATTTTTTTTTTTTATTTTTTTTTCAACGTTTATTTATTTTTGGGACAGAGAGAGACAGAGCATGAACGGGGGAGGGGCAGAGAGAGAGGGAGACACAGAATCGGAAACAGGCTCCAGGCTCTGAGCCATCAGCCCAGGGCCTGACGCGGGGCTCGAACTCACGGACCGCGAGATCGTGACCTGGCTGAAGTCGGACGCTTAACCGACTGCGCCACCCAGGCGCCCCAAAAAAGATAATCTTAAGATGAACAACCTGAAATGCCTAGCATATTATATTCTTTTAATTGCAAAATCATTCTTATTCTCACCAGTACTGAACTAAAGAGTTCTAGAAACCCAATAATGATTCTTCCAGAAGTTATGTCTAGTAAGACTATACATTTTGTTTCTTGCTGACAGATCTGACTGAAGATTGGCCACATACATGCCTGAGTAGTTAGTTCAATTTGTTAACAATATATCTATAAATAATTTGGGGTTAAGTTTGTGAACCCTTTTGTCATGAATACTCTCAAGGGGAAAAATACTCACAAACTATAAAGTCATATTACCATGCCCCACTGGTCACATGGGAAACCTGAGAAGTATATACGAATGGGTTAGGAAAAACCTACCACTGAGAGACCTTTTTTTTTTTTAATTTTTTTCCAATTGTTTGGCCTGACACTTGGGACAGAGAGACAGAGCATGAACGGGAGGGCAAGGCAGACACAGAATCGGAAATTCAGGCTCCAGTCTGAGCCTGGCCTCCCAGGCAGCCAGAACTCAACTCTGAACCATGAGATCGTGACCTGGCTGGAAGTTTGGCTTAACAACAGGCTCATCCCACCAGGAGATCTTACCCAGGGGACCTGACCTGCTTTGTTACTCTAATGGTGACAACAACCTAGCCTTTAAGAAATGTTTTAAAAATTATACTTACTATTTGGTAATATATTACTGTATCATAAACAAGATAAGGGTTTACTAAAAGCAATTTTACTTCTAAAATTAAAAATATCTTTTCTCTCCTTTGTCTACGTTAAAAGCACTTACCTAAAACCAGGAACACCCACCAGAGCCAGTACTGACCATCAAAATATCCAGGGAAATAGGTGGAAAACTGAAAAATAAAGCAAACAATTTTATAGCAGCTTAGCAAATACAATTTCACGTTTCAACCTAAGGGCACACAAAACACAAGACTTTTGCATACTAATGCTATCATTTAGCTCCTGCAATTTTTTTAAATGAAAATATTTTATGTATTACTGACCTGAAATGGTTATGACATATGCAGAGACGTTTCCTTTCATGGAAAGGCAATCTTGAGATATGATTTTGTCTTATAGACTCCTTGTTTTGCAGTGCTCAAATCTGTTTATTTTTTAAAAGGTTTTTTGTTTTTTTTTTTTTTTGCCCACGTAACATTCATCCTTCTAGAAATACATTTTGATGACCATTTGACTTTGCTTACCCAGTGACAAAACCAATTATTTTGTTCCTATTCTTCCAGGTATGCCTTCACTTTGCAAGCTTTATCATGTACAACACAATAATTCTATTCCTTTGCCAAATAATGGCACATTCTGGCCAATGGGACTTGAGGGCTGCTAAGGTCTTCTTGCATGTGGAGAGAAAAGCAAGAGTTGTCTTTCTTCTGCTGAGCACTGCTGTGCTTCTGCTGTGATGCCTTGAAACTGCTATGGCCGTTTTCACCCTGAGGGAGGAGCAGCTGTACTAACATGCTGAGCAGACGCGGCAACTGTCCCTAATGATGTCAATGACACACTGATTTAACTATCCTCCACGTCAGGGCTTGTTTTCATGGGAAATAAATGTGCTCCACGGTTTTCTAAGCCATGTTGAACCCGTTTTCTGTTACAGACCAGGCCATCCTGATACAAGCTGATTCACTCAATTCAGTTTTAAAATTTAGTCAGCTCTGAAAATTTTAGTTAAAAAAAAGATTGGTAACTAATTTTATCTCTGTTTTCTACTGGGGGCTTCAGTGTCCAAGAATTTAACACAGTCTCAGTGTTAAAATATAGCATTTTATTTCCTAATAGAATAACAATTTAAGACAGAAGGAACGAAAAACCTCTTTAGGACTCAGGCTCTTAACCTGAAGGCTTGTCTCAGATGAATATATATTAGCCGTCTGGGGGAAAAGTCCTTAACTTTTACCAGACTCTCAAAGGAACTTGCAATCCTAAAAATGTTAACAACTGGTTAAAATAAATAAATTTGAAAAACTCCAGCTGTCAGTCAACACCCATTAATTAGTTTATAATGCCAATTTATGATGGATACATTGATTTTATCTATAAAAGCAATAAACTTATATGAAATCGCATTATACGTTAAGAGACTAGATTTTTTTTGAAGTATAAATTACTTCAACAATTGTGACTACCTGATAACTCCCAGATCACTGATGATTCCTCTCTAATATACTGTAGAGATAAAGTCCCCTAATGGAGTAGCACTTGTTAAACAGTTTCAGCTCCCAGACATTTTGGTATAACCACTGATGCTACTGATAAACAACCCTGGAGGGGAGGGAGGAAGAGAGCTCTGAAGAGAGGGAAGAAGGGGGGAGAATCAAAGTGAAAGAAAGAGGGAAGAAGAAAGATAAACTAAAACTTTAGTAGAATTAGTGAGAGGGTGAGAGGAATGCCTATTTTTAATGAGACACCAAAGAAGTGTTATCTTTCTTTTTGTCATAAAAACAACTAATTTCAGAACAAACACACATATTATGCTATTATAAACATTAAAAGGAGAGAAAGCAACTTGTGAACAACCTGTAAGATAGATACCTTGGGGCCACCAATATTCACTAGATTTAAGTATAAGACTTGCATGCATGAACTAACTGCAAATGATTTAGGTTCAACTTCATGAAGCCAGAATAAAGACAAACCTAAAATCATTTTAAATGTAGAGATAATGCTAAGCAACAACACATGAAAAAAAAAATCAAATATTCAAACTTATTCCACTTCTTGTTTCTCAAAGGGTCTATCTTTTCTGGTATACAACTTACCCTGACAATCAGGATCCACTTAATTAGAGAGAGACCAAATCCTGAAATGGCCCCATACCTTCCTGCAGCTGAGGTGGTCAGACAAAAAGACAGGAAAAATCCAATCCAGTTAAAGAGGAATGCCACTGTAAAGGCAGAGAAGAAAAAAAAACAAAACATGTCAAACATGTCCTGTTATTATGGTAAGAGTGCCTTCTACACTTGCTTTTGCTTAAATGGTTTTTCCAAGGATAAAAGCCCAGCCCATCCACCATAACACTTCCCTTACCTCCTACATCCATTCTGTCTTCCTCCCAAAAGCAAACAAGAAAACATATCTATTGCTATTCACTTTCAAAAATGCCTTAACATTCACCTAACTGTATACTTATGACTTGCGCCCTTTTATGTGTTACACTTCAGTAAATAAAATAATCTGATTCAAGTTATTCATCGTCCTACTTCTATGAATCTTGACAGCTACATAGCATCGCCTCTAAAAGCACTGCATTTCCTTTATATCTAATCTTTTTAATACCGCAAATTAAAAAAATGGTTGCTCACTTCTAAGTGACACTCATGAACAGATAAATGCAAAATAACATCAAGGAGGGGAAAAAAAATCCGGCTGACTTTGATCTGTCAGAAAATAGAAGCTTGCAAAAAAAAAAAAGGCAAAATCAATCAGACTAAGGTCTTCAATTCCTACTCTACAGGTCAGGTCTGAGTAGGAGCAATGCCAAGGATCCTTGCAGACCTAAAAGATGAGGCTTACTTATTAGCTCATGTAAAAATACAGCATCCCCGTAACTACTTCAGTTATATTTTCTATAGATATAAGAGAAGACAAACAGAAGGAATATTAAGAAAAATGTATACTAAGTTCTGAACATCTCAATAAGAGGCATCAAATGCATACAATGTATTAAAATATTAGTTCAACTAGTCATTTTAATTCAGTCAGATACGGCCATACTTCAAAGCACTCTGGTTGGTGAGAGGTGGTCCTACTATGTGTATTTACTTACTGAAAAAAGTTAACATGAAAATCCCATCATTTCCTATCCTCAGCTGGTCAGCATCATCAAAGTCATCCCGACCCACAAAATCTTCATCCTAAATGAAAAGAGAAAGGTAAAATCAAGATGAATTATTTGTAGGCAAATGAAAGGCATCAAGAAAAATAAGGAAAGGAATAAAAGTGAGTACCAAGGAGAAAATTTACCGCTTTGGCTCAATTCAAAATAATGAGCATTAAGGTTCAGTATGTGTTAAAAGCTTCATTTTGTCTTTTAATAAAAGATACAATTAGAGAACAGGCAAATCTTTCTTCTATCTCTATAGTTTTCTAAATGAACTGTTCATTTTATAACCCAAGTTCTTTAAGAATACACTTCAAAAATTATAAAGTTCAAAGAGAAGTATTCACTCGAATATATCTAAAGGAAAAATACATATTTGGCTTAAATTTGCCTCACATTCTAGAATCAGTAACCCAGGGCCTGCTGAGGGCCCAGATATTAGTAACCCAGGACCTAATTAAGAAGTTCAAATTTTTATAAGACATGGGAGAAAAAGAATAGCAAGATCACACATGAAGAGGCTGTGGGGCTGCCCAGTGCTCAACTTTACAACCATTTTGTTCACATTAGCATAAAGGTCTGAAACAACCTCACTTCCAAGCTTATTGGCGGAGAGGATCCTTTCCATCCTAACTTGAAAACATATTACTCCAAGTCTAGGAGGAACAGGACCCTGACTACCATTAACCATGTGGCCCACCTTTTCAACTGATGTACGTTATGTGTTGAAATACTGAAACACATATGAATATACACTTAAAAGTAAAAGCCAGATTTGTACACAGTCCAATGAAGGTTCCTCAAATGCACAAAAGGAAAAAAAGGGAAAAAAAAAACTTTTAGGGAGAATCCAAACTCACCCTACACAGACAGAAAGGAGGCTGGGAAATCCCTAACAAGCTAGGGTTCACCTGGGGAGGGTGTACTGGAGAAACGGAAATGTAAGGGGCAGCTTCCATTTAAAACTTAACACACTTCGTCTCCTGTTAGAAATTTTTACAAGAGGGGCACGTGGATGCTCAGTTGGTTAAGTGTCTAACTTTGGCTCAGGTCATGATCTCACAGTTCATGGGTTTGAGCCCTGAATTGGGCTCTGTGCTGACAGCACTGGAACATGCTTGGAATTCTCCCTCTCCCTCTCTCT